TATACACACACTGTATATGTGTGTATTAACACTTTTGTGCCTAGGGCATGCGCGTTGTCAACTTAAAGGTCATGCCCCCGTCGTACGGGCGAGCGCGCAGCGACACCAAAATGTGTACATGTGTATACAAAATGTGTGTGATGTGGAAGGCTATTGCTAAGGCATGGGTGACTAGGCAATTTTTTACGGAGTGGGTGAATGAGGTGGTGTGCCCTGCCATCAAAAAATATTTGCAGGAGAACAGTTTGCCATTCAAGGCCCTGCTTCTCCTCGACAATGCTTCTGCCCATCCTCCAGGCTTGGAGGATTCATTGATGGAGGAATTTAGTTTTGTTACAATAAAGTTCCTTCCTCCCAACACCACTCCTCTACTTTAGCCTGTGGACCAGAAAATCATTGCCAATTTTAAGAAACTTTATGAAAGCGCACTTTTTTGGAGATGTCGAAGTGATGGATGTCACAAACCTCACCCTCAAAGAGTTCTGGAAAAAAACATTTTAACATTTATAGTGCTTTAAAACTTGTTGACAAAGCCTGGCAAGATGTGACTGTAAGAACCATGATCTCTGGCTGGAGAAAACTGTGGCCTGAATGTGTTGCAGAACGAGACTTTGAGGGGTTTGAGCCTGAACCTGAAGTGCCTCTCGTTGAGGAAATTGTTTCTCTGGGTGGGCAATTGGGTTTGGAGTTGGATGGTGCTGATGTGGAGGAGTTGGTGGAAGAACACAACGAAGAACTGTCTACCGAAGAGCTCCAAGCCCTTCAAAAGGAGCAGCAAGAAGAGCCAGCTGAGGAAATTTCTTCAGGGGAGGATGTGCCAGTACAGAATGTCCCTTCCTCAACAATTAAGAAAATGTGTGCAGCATGGGAAGAATTGCAAATTGTCGTTTTTGCTGAAACGGATCGCCCAAATCAAGCTGCAGTAGGCCGTTGCCTTAAGTGATGCATCACTACAGACAAATGTTAAAACGAAGGGAAAAACAAGTGTCTCTTGACAAATTTGTAGTGAGACAAACAAGCAGTGAACCACAACCAGGTCCTAGTGGTATTCAGGCAAAACGTAGGAGAGAGAGTACCCTAGAGAAAACATCACTGTCTGATGTGATAATGTAAGGTGACTCCCCCTTCCAATCAGTAACACCTCTTCTCCTCCCCCTCATCACTGTCTTCCATACTCCATCAAGAGCTCTCCATAAAGGTAAGATAAACTTATGTACTGTATTGTAGTTAGAAAAAACATTGTATTCAGTATAAAATGTATTTGTAAGTTAATATTTTGGAGGGTTGGGAACTGATTAATTCAATTCCCTTTATTTCTTATGGGAAAAATCGCTTCGACTTACGATATTTCGATTTGCGATCCGTCTCTGGGAACGGATTACCATCGTAAGTCGAGGCACCACTATATAATCTTTCCAGTGTTCTGACATCAAGTTTCGTGTTACATCTTTCATTTTGGTATCAAATTGTGCGCACTCTAACAGCGCTCATTTTGAACCTATCCTGAAGTCGATTGGATAATAAAAGAATTTTATACAAATCTTTTTTTATCGGACGCGAGTACAGTCCGATGCTCGGACTCGGGAGAAAACAATCGGACGCCGGGGATGTTCGAAGAGTGTGATAGTGTTAAAGTATTTTATTTACAGTAAATTACAAAGTTTTATTGATATTGTTATTATATACACTCACTCTATATACTGTACTATATACATGTTTATGTTCCATAATTGAAATAGAAGTTCTGGAGAGTATGATAGTGAGGGAAACAGTTTGCATAACACAGGGCAGCACCACACACTGCACAGTGTCGTCACTAATTGTAATGCTTGTGGTCCCCATTGTGTGTTCTTTCAAACAGCGCAAATACTTTGGCCTTTTGTATGCTTTCCAGTAAGTGATATACTATTTTGTGCAGTTGTAAGACTCCTTGAAAGCCACTCTGTCTGGAGCAGCATGAGGTAATGTTGAGCTCTGAATGCCTGTTTATGACTTAAATGTCTTTGTTGAACTTTGTTAATACGTAATTGTGTCAGAATGGCAAGATTAAACAAATGCATAGTTGGTTTATGATATGATTTCATTACACATATTGTAACTGTTCAGCATGGTTATGAAATACCATACCATGTTTTCAAGGTGAAAAAAAATTTTCTTGGCCATTTTTACAGTTTTATATCCACACTCGACAGTGTCAACCATCATGTCACACTTATGAACTAAGCACATGTTTGTTACACTCGGTGAAACAATCTGGCTTATATACTGGTTGTTCAGTTGCTTGGTTCACCTTGCCCACTGTTCACCATCCTACCTGAGTGAATGGTTGTCAATATATTCATGTTTCGTCTGTTTTTCTAGCGCACTGCAAGTATTTTGTCAATTTCTTATTTGACATTCACCTACTGAAATATTTTTGTCATACAATAGCATTTCCCTCCTTTGTGGCTTTATTCTTCCACACACTCCACTTCCATGTTCAAACAGGATAGTAGTTAGCAAGGGATTAGTATAATAATAATAATAATAATAATAATTGTGTACAAAATGTGGCCCTTGTTCGGCAGTGGTGCCATCGTTATCTTTACTACACTATCTATAAAACTGTGAGGTTGTTACTGGGAATGTGTACATCATTGCTCGAGTAAAGTAGCATGTCTATCACCATTCGTGTTTCACAGTTACAGAGTACTAAGAAAAATTTCATTTGAAATCTGTGGCATTTGAAGGGAATATACTGTTTGAAAGCAAGACATCCATTGAAAAACACAAGTGCTCAGTCAGTCACCATCTCAGGGCCTGGTGTGTAAGAATTTTTGAACTTCCTATTCAGTTTACTGAGGATGTGCTTCACCTTCCAAAGTCTATCTTCTTCATTCTGGTTTCCACTATGTTCAAAATGTAGGCATCTGAGAAGTAACAGAATCCTGTCATGAGACATGTATTTGCTGAAAATGGGTGATGGGACAGCAGTCTCTGTTCAGATAGTTCTTGATGACAGGTTTCACTGAATGTTTCATCATCACCAACAGTGGTGTCTGCCAATGCTGCAATCTCAAATAAGGTAATATTCACTCAGTTTCAATGAGTTTAGCCTCATATCTGTTCTTTTCCTGAACAATATGTTCCATGAGCAGCTCATCAAATTATGTCACAAAATACTCCATTTCACTCATGTCCTCACCAGTATACAGGAAAATGTCTGTAACCCCTATATCTGCAGCCTCAAATGTAGGCATTTGTGGAACAAAATCCACACCATCTCCCCACTGGAGTACATCTGCTGTTCTGCTGGTGACACCATCAACACCACTGCCATGTATCCTAACACCAACAATTATGGTGGCTAGGAGATGAAGCCCGTCAACTATGTGCACTGCGGGCATGAACAGATGACGGCATATAAGTTTGAAGATGAGGTCATTCTTCCCTCAATTTTCCCATTTGACATCACATGCTATCATTTGACTGGGTGAGCAGCTGATGCAGCAGAGCTACACCTGGTAACACGATGTAAACCAGCCTGTCCTCTGAAAATGGGGACGTAAATGTAACGGCTCCATAAGTGCAATTATGTATGACAGTCAGGAATTGTATTTATTTTAACTTGGTATTAAACCATACTGTCAAATATATTGTGAATATTTGAGTTTACCTGAAAAGCTGAATAAAAAACCACGACCTAACCTAACCATCTTAGTTTTTGAAGATAAGCATTTTATTGCTTCTTAATTACAATTACTAATAAACCTATAGCTATATTGATATTAGTTTTATAAAACAAATAAAACAAAACTAAAATATTTCAATAAATTGTAAAGTAACTCAGGATATTTTCAAATTTTGTATAAAATCTCTATTGTTTAATAAAACTGAAAAAGAAATTCCTGATATTGAAAACGTGTGTATAGCGAACTGAACTTTAAAACTTCATTCTAAAATTCTGAGTGTCTTAACAGAAAACGAGGAGAATAAATGGGAAGATAAATGTAACAGCCCCATAAGTGCAATTATGTACTATGTATTATGTATGACAGGGAATATACTTATTACACTTAGTATTAAAACGTACTGTCAATTCGGAAGATGGGTTGCAGCAATCATACACCACTACCACTAGTCACAACATTGCTAAAACCATCACTAAGTCTGGAAAATGAGTCATCTTCCACTTGTTCGTCGTGCAGAGGAACAGTATGTTGCACAGATAGTGGTCTGGTAGCTGATTGGACAGCGCACGAGACGCGTAATTCTGTGGCCCGGGTTTGATTCCTGGACTAGGCAGAGACAAATGGGCAGTTTGTCACCCTGATGCCCCTGTTACCTAGCAGTAAATAGGTACTGTGTGTGTGTGTGGATTGAAATTTTTTTTAGTAGTAACAGTTGATTGATTGACAGTTGGGAGGTGGGCCGAAAGAGCAGAGCTCAATCCCCGCAAGAAAAACTAGGTGAAACTAGGTGAATACAGACCCACAGTCTGTCTCATGGTGCCGTGGAATGAGGCCACAGAAGGAGTGATGATGATGTATGCCTCTGCACACGTGCATCATTATCACTGTATCATTTTCTTCTGAGCCCTGAGCATAATCTTTATCTTTCACAGAATCATCAAAGTTGCTTTTCATCATTTGCTGGAAACAGCTTATCATGAATTTCTTTATCAGTCACTGATAGTGTTCAGGGAGCCACAGAGCAGCATTTTGAGCTGAATGATCACATATCGGCCTCGGTTTGTATCAATGTGGCCTACTCGTTATTTTTTCAAGATGGCAGCTGTTTAATACTGTATTGCCCCTGGCCAGTGTCTGGTTGTCTCTTTTAATGCACAGGACTTTAAAGTTTTGCACGGTACTCTAAATCATTTCTATTTAACTCGTGAAGTGGGGTTAGGTGTGGCATGAGTGTCCCTGTTTGACACTTGCAGTGGAAGGGTTTAAAGTCAGCTGGTGTTAATAAGTATTCTGCTTAGAAAAAACACTCTTAATTTTTACTTCTCACAGCATTCGAGATTTGGACCCATTAGTAGTGTTCCTGAGTGGTCTGGTAGAAGATGAAACTGTGCGAAAGGCAGTGGAAGGTAGCTCAAAGTTGAGATTGCAAGAGGATGGTATGACACTTATGACAATTCCCTCGATTGTTTCCGACATTGAACATGCTGTTGAGACAAAGCTGTCCAGGGATCAGCTCAATGAGGTAAATGGTGTTTTCATTTTTTTATATATATGTACTGTATACTATTGTAACGAGATGTTAGATACCAAATTTATCGCATTAATACAGTATTTATATACAGTACAGTGGAACCTCGGCCTACGAATGCCCCAGAGTATGAATTATTCGGTGTACGAAGTCAATTTCATCGTAAAATTTGACTTGGTGTACGAAGTTTGCCTTGGAGTACGAAGTGCTTGTTCAGTATCCACTTGCTTTAATTAATCACCTATATGGGGCTATACCCAAGTCATTAAATTCAGGGCCCCGCTATTATCCGGAGGGTTTAAAATGTCACTAAGTTTTTAGTCTTATTTGGGAGGGCAACAGGATGGAGGGGGGGGGGGGGAATTGGATGGATAGGGGGGGGGCTGTATAGATGACTGGATGGATGGATAGGGGGGGGCTGTATAGATGACTGGATGGATGGATAGTGAGGGGAATGTATGGATGGTGGAGGGAACTGGATGGATGGTGGGAACTGGATGGATGGATAGTGGGGGAACTGGATGAATGGATAGTGGGGGGACTGGAAGGATGGTGGGGGGAACTGGATGGATGGATGGTGCGGGGGGAACTGGATGGATGGAAGGAAGGATTGTGTGGAACTGGATGAATGGATAGTGAGGGGAACGAATGGGGGGAGGCTGATGGAGGGGGGGGGGGAGAAAATCTTTCATGAACACCAGCCCTAGAATCATGTAAGGGAAGAACACATGAAGGGCGAGTGAGGTGATGAGTAGCAGGACGGGCGGGCAGCAATGATCGGCCAGGTGTCAGTGTGTGCAGGTAGGCAGTAGTGAGATGGTTGGCAGAGTGGGCATAGTGGGTGGGCAGATAGGCATTCGGGCATGCAGGCAGCAGAACGATTGGGTGGCAGATGTCTTGTAGTTTATGGGTATTTGCAGAGAACATCCCTTGTTGTGTTGTGCAGTAAAAAGGTTAAATTAACCAGGTACTGTATGTTAGTAAATGCCTCGTATAGAATTTTATGAATAAAAGAGGTGTAACCATTGATTTCTGAGTAATGAATAGTAGAAATTTGCTTTCAGTATGATTTGTAATTATTTAACATGTATCAGTATGTAATCATTACCAAATTATTACATTACATTAACTTGTAATGCAAGTTATGAAAAGATTCCTATCAACAATAATGTTAATACATCAACAGCTCAGGGACCGATTGCTAAGGGAATCACAGGTTACACATGCCCCCAGTGAAGCCCTACAGAGTGTAGAAAGGGGAGAAAGGAGAACTGTACGTTTAGGGCCTCCGACTCCAAGCTGGTTAACATCAAGACCATATCTCTCACTAGATTTTGTGAATCTGGAACATAGACAAGAGCTTGGGGCACTAGGTAAGATAAATTGCAGTTCTTTGTTATAATACCAAACATAAATTACTCTTATGATAACATAACTTTATTATAATTTAAGGTAATTTATTTCTGATATTCTTAAAGTAACATCATTGTTTTATCATTTGCTTTATTCATATTTCTGAATTTGTGACAGTTTTCTTATGAATTATGCATTCAATTGTATTAGTCCATCTATAAATGAAACTTAGTTTCTTCTCACTACTGCAACCCTTCCCCTCCCCCATAACACACACAGTTTAGCTTAGTTCAGCAGTGCCAGGAGACACTGCAGCAGGCTCCAGGGTTATCAAATTGCCTAAGTATTGGGAACAGGTTAAGGGCTGTAATCTGTGTTGGAAAAGTTTATACGCTATTCCAAAACGAAAGTGTCAATACCATAGATGGCCACCACCATGGGGAAGGTAGATACACCAACAAATTGTTTCAAAGGATTATCACCACAAGATATAATGAAAGGAGGTTTTCTTGGCAGGTTAGAGATAATTGAGGATATACTAAAGAATTATGAAGAAAAAGTACTTGAATTATGATATGGAAATGGAGCTCTCAGGAGTGAGTTTCACACGTTAAAAGGAAACATTCTTCAGCAAGATAAGAAAATAACCACCTTAACAGACAAGGTAAAGAGACAGGAGGAACAAATCAAGAAACTAGTGAAAGAAAATAAGGTATGGAAAGTGAAGAGAGGTAAATTTGAAGAAGTTAACAAAAAAATACTCATATTGTGAACAATTCCAAGGAACCCTAAAGGCCAACGTAGAGTTAGGTAAGGATATGCAAAGAGAAACTTCATTGGCAACTCACATAGAGGAGGTTAATAAAGAACTAGCAAAGTACAAAGAGGAAATTAAAGAGATGTATGCACAAGTTGTAAAAGAGTAAGAGATGATCAAGGAAGTGTGTTTGGAAGTCAAAACCTGGAATGACCAACAAGAAACAGAAATTAGACAAGCAATTAGGAAAGAACTGGTATTAACAGTAAATAAGTACAATACAAAACACTGCAGATAGTAGTAATTCCACAATAATTTTAGGGCAGTTAGAAAAGGAAATATCATCTAGGGTAGCCAGAGCAGCATAAGAGAAGAAAAGCGTAGAGAAAATAATAGGTTTAGGAGATGACCTCAATTCAAAGGAAAATGTCAGTGATTTTAGGAGGATAGGAAATTATGAGAAAGACAAAAACTGCCTCTAAGGGGGCCGGGAGTTCAAATAATCAACCTTTCTCAAACACACAACTTTTCTAGGGAAAGCCCCGTCAGCTCCCCAGAGCTATCCAGGCTGTATGGATATGTATAACTTTCTGGCATCAGTCAAAGTGCTAGAAGTTCTTGCCAACCGGGGACCACGAGCCAGAACCTGGCCCCCTCAGAGAGGCACAAGGTGCAATGGTCTATAGAAACCCACTTGTGGTTGGGAGCATTCTATGTCTGCCATCGACCGGGATAGGCATCCAGAAAGGTAGGTGCCCCAAAACAAACCCCTATTCTGGTGAAAATATTGCTATCAAAAGCCGAACGAGTGGACAGAACACTCAAACAAAATTATCAAACTAGCATGATGTCATCACGTCGCCGTGCCACCATCTGCGCAACCCCCCCCCCTACCGGGAGGGGAAAGGGGACCCCCAGACCCTCTTCACCGGCGATCCAACTGGCAGTTCTTGGCTGATGGAATTACTGGCCGGTCAAGTGCCTCTGGCTCCGGTTTTTGTTTCAGTTCTGTTCCTTGTGGTGTGCACTGTCTCTACCGGTGGGGTGTGAGCCAGGAGTGAGATTCCATGGTAATCGGGCTGCATGCTCCTAGGGCTATCTTCCGGGCTATCTTCCAGGCTATCTTCCCTAGGTGCCCTGTAAGTACTGCCCTTGGGGCTTGGGGCCACCTTCCACAAGTCACCTTGGGTTCTATCTCTGCTGTGTCCTTTACTGCTCGGTACTGGGCCACCCTTGGAGTTGGCTGGGGTTTTGTTGCCCTGGTTTGTCTCTGGGTAGGTGGTAGTTTTCGTCATTGGTAGGGGCGTGGGGTACCGCACAGCTAGTTCTCGCCTATAACAGCGGCCGGCTCTGTTCCGCCTGGGTACGTTGTCCTCTTGCGGGGCTTTTCTTTTGTTTTTGCCTGGTGGGGGGGGGGGGGGGGTGTCGGCCTTTATGGTTCCCCTTTACTGTTCTAGATTTTTTATTTCGATATTTTCTGTTGGTGGTACTCCCCGCTTGGCCCCCGTGAGTGGACACATCCCGGGGGTTCAGCTTTTAGAAGTTTGGTAGACTTGGGCACCGGTTTGTGGTACCCTGCCTGGGCTTCCCTTAGCGTGTACCCAAGGCTAAGGGCCCTGGGAAACCCCATGGGGGCTCCGTGATCCTATGGGTGTGCCCCCGGAGTCCCCCTTCACGTCCTGCGAGTTTGATGGTTGCTCTGTCCCCTTGTCTCAGGGTGACACTCAACGGTTGTGCCTCCGCCATGCTGCCTGTTGGGCCATTGTTTCTTATGACCTGGAGTCGTGCGATGGGTGTTGTCGGGGGGCCTCGTAGCCTGGTGGATAGCGCGCAGGACTCGTAATTCTGTGGCGCGGGTTCGATTCCCGCACGAGGCAGAAACAAATGGGCAAAGTTTCTTTCACCCTGAATGCCCCTGTTACCTAGCAGTAAATAGGTACCTGGGAGTTAGTCAGCTGTCACGGGCTGCTTCCTGGGGGTGGAGGCCTGGTCAAGGACCGGGCCGCGGGGACACTAAAAAAGCCCCGAAATCATCTCAAGATAACCTCAAGATAACCTCAAGGTACATGCTCTCGTTCACCCAGGCCACTGGTCTTGATAATCGGGTGCAGGCAGCTGTGGCGTTGCTTGCTAGGTGTAGGTTGCTGCAACGTTCTTGGTTGTTTGTGGCCCCGGATGCCCCAAGGCTGCCCCCGTTTGTTGGGGTCTGAACTTGGGGGTGGGGGTCGCTTCGGCTCTGGCTCCTTCCGCTCCTCGTCCTTTCCCTTCTGTTCTGCACACTTCCTCCTTTGCTTCCAGCTCCGAACCGTAGGCGGGTTTCGAGGTTGGAGTGGGGTCTGGTTGGGTTGAGACTCGGGCAGTCTCGGGGAATTTTCCTGTTCCAGGGTGGCGGCGGAGGCATTCGAGTTGGTTCCTCCAGCTGTGCCATATGGGTCTGACCAGTGGGCTCCCTTCCTTAGTGTTTGTACGGCTGCCCCGGCTTTTCCTTGTCAAGCTGGGGCTTTGGGGGTGCGGCTCGGCCCCAGGTCATGCCGTAGAGGTTCCCGGGGTTGGGGAGGGGTTGCCTGGGGGTCCTCGGTCCCGTTTGCCCCACTTGGGTCTTTGTACCCTTGGTGAGGAGCTGGCAGTTCCTCAGGGTGGGGTTGTTCCTTCCCCCTCTGTGTTCATGTTGGTTTCAGGTACTGTATACCCCTCCCTGGGTTCGGTTCAGTGTCCCTTCGGGTTTGTTGGTCCCGTCGTTCCTGGGTGTTTGATTCGCCCCTTTTCTTTACCCTTTTCGTGCTTATGTCGCGATACTGTTCCCTTCCTATTGTGGTCCCTGCGTGTCCCTTGATCAGGGGGTATATTTTTGTCCATATGTACCTCCGTGCGTTTGTGCTCACTTGTCGTGGTTTTCGTTGGTTCGTGCGTCTCTTCGTACCTTCCAATATTATTGGAACATCCGTTGAGCTCCAATGTGGTTTCCCTCTGGTCTTTTGTCGGCCTTATTGATTACCTTCCATCCTGTCTTCTTTCGCTTCGGTTTCGCCTTGTTTTGTTTTTGCGTCGTCTCTCCTTCCAGTTTCGACGTTCCTCGTCTTCGTTACTTCGTCTTCCTGGTGTTTGTACGATGTGTCTGTACATTATGTGTGTGTACGATATGTGTGTCCGCCTGGTGTACGAGCCACGCCACCCAGTGGACGGGTGGTACGTTTCGTACCTCGCGCGCTGGGGCCGGGGTGTGCGTTTTGTTTATGGGCGGTTTGCTTGTGTGTGTTCTGCGTCGTTTCTTGCGGTTTTCTATGGCTTCTTGCTCGTTTTCTCCCTCCAGTCGTAGCTCTCTGAATGCTAGGGGTGTTCTGGATTTTATATCTAGGGGCATCACTTCGTTCTTTCCTTTGCTTCCGGGTGTGGGATGGTTCGAAATAGCGCTTTCTCCTCCCCCTCTGTACTGCTCCTCGTCTTCTGCGGGGCGCGCCCCTCTGGACATATTTCTCCTTGGACTTCCAAATTTTATTCAGTTAACGGTACATACAATGCCTACTGCCTCTAATATGCATGGGATTCGAGTGCACCACTTGCGATGCTCCTGGTATGTTACTTGGCTCGCCTGTGTTGTGGCACGGTCGTGTCTCTGCTCTGCAGGTGTGATTGTCGTGTCTGGTGCCTCTGTTGGCTAGGTGCTGGTTCTCTACTTTTGGTGGGGTGCTTGCCTAGTTGTGCTTGCAGGGGTTGAGCTCTGGCTCTTTGGCCCCGCCTCTCTCCTGTCGGTCGACAGTTGTGCAGTTTCCAGAGCCTCCTGAGCTCTGTCTTATCTACGTTTGCTCCTGTGGGTGGAGTCTTCCTCCACCACATAGCTTCCTAGTGCTTTCCACTTCCTATCTCCTCTGACATTGATCAGGTTCTTTTTCATGTCTGTGGCTTCTTTGGGTACTCAGCTTCCTCCTGTGTCCCCTTGTGCATACGAACATCAGGACATAAGAATAAAGGTACCTGCAGAAAGCCTATTAGCCCATACGAGGCAGCTCCTATTTATTACCACCCAATCCCACTCTTATACGTGTCCACCCCAAGCTTGAAACAATCGGGGGACTCCACCTCCACCGCGTTACGCGGTAATTGCTTCCACAAATCAACAAACCTGTTACCATACCAGTATTTACTCAAGTCTTTCCTAAATCAAAACTTATCCAATTTATACCCATCGTTTCATGTGCAAAACGTGCCACAAGGGTGGCATGTGCCAACCTTGGTCACTGCTCAATTCTTGTTTACTCTGTCCTT